TATATATATATATACAGTGTTGTCAATTTATAATGAAGGGTTAATGCGTATTTTATAACTTACTCTCATCAATGTTTAGAGTCAGGGTAGCATGAATCCTGCACGATTATGTACGTTGACGATATCTTGTCCGTCGCTCCCGATATATTGCAGATAATTTAAGCTAGAGGACCGTAACTTACAAATACAGCCCACAGCCACATTACTAACAAACAATGGTCTGATGCTATATCAACCAATACATCAAAACTGCCGCGCCAAAGAGGAATAACACGAGAGGAATTAAAATATACACACCGAATCGTCGTCGTCAGCGTTGTTGCTGTTGTTACTTGTGAACTAGCAAATAATCGTGTTGTTTCTCTTTAGCGGACTGGCATGAAAAAAAATAAAATGGTTTTAAAACAAACTTGTATATCTCGCAAACCACTTTAGCTTAAGTAGCCGTTAATTTTGAATCTACAGCATCTAAACATAATTGAAATATATATATAACAAAAAAAAGTGAGAGAGATGTAGAGGAGGCAAAGATATGCATGTTTTAAGTGAAAGAGGTTTGGTATTATTCACAAGTGTAAAAACTCACCGGCGGCGCCGCGAGCCGAACTTAGGTGGAACTGCGCTGCTTCCATTAGCCTGTTTGGTTTCAATTACCACATGAGCGCAACCTTTATATTCCTACTATATATATAATTCCTATACATATGTTTATTTGCCTAACCCTAACTTACAAGATTCGTTTTGTATGCAAATTAAATAACTGACTTGGTTGTGTTAAAAGAAGTATTGCAATTTGAAAACAAACAAAAGAAAGAACTCAAATCAAAATAAATTAAGAAACAAGTGTAAACAAAATCAAAAGGAAACTGTCTGAAGTAAGCCAAAAAAAATTATATGTGTGTATCTCTCAAGTTTTTTTTTCTTATCCGAATTCTGATAGATATATAGATATTCATAGAAACGAGAACAAAGATAGTGGACACTCACCTTCATGATTTCACGAAATTTGCCAATCTCCCTTGTTATAAGGTCTCTTTTCTCTTCCTCCACATCAGCCTCATCTAATATTTTATTTCTTTTCTCTAGAACTTCTTCTGCAAATAACAATACAATTAATTAACTTATTGCAATCAGGTGTAGTCGAATATTTCTCATTAAATAAAAAAACACTTATGTTTGTCACACTCACAACACAAGTGGAAAACACAATTAAGTATACCTTCTTTCTTCAACTCAAAGTTATTCATCTCATCCTTATATTCGATGAGCAATTGTTTGATTCGGTCCAGCGCCCCGTTGTCTAACATTTTAGTCTCGTCGTCCAGGGGTTCCTCCTCTTCCAACTCGTCCTGCAGAGGAGAACCAGATCCTTTTTCCTTTTGCCGTTTTTCAGCTGCAATTCACGAAACACTTTAACAAAACCATTCAACCAATAATAAATGGGTGATTCCTCAATACCTTTATATTTATCTAGAACAGCCTTAGTTTTAGAATCGACTTTCGCGACAAGTCTCTTCTCACCGACCATCAGGTCGTGCAAAATTCTCACAGCACGCAATCCCGCATCCGGCCCTGCCAATTCACAAAATCCGAAACCTTTAACGCGTTTCCAACTAATCACCGGACCGCACGTCGCTAGGATTTGTCTCACCATTGTGTCCGGAGCTTTCTCAGTGATGTTTCCTGCGAAGCAAATTACGAAATGTTACGTCCAACCTTTACGAGATCATGCTCTGTCCAACTTACCCACAAAAACTGTGACAGGGGGACCCTGGATCTGCTTGAATTGGTCACGATTTGGATTGAGTTTTGGGAATGCCCTAATCTGTGGAGCAGTCGTAACCTGCATAGGTACCATCTATTCAAAGGATGGATGGACAAAATTAAATCAATAAAGGAAATAATAATCTACATAAAGACACACTGATGAGCAAGCATGAAACCACACTTGTTGTTAGTGCAAATCATAAAATGATAAATGTAAATAGGACAAAGTTAAAAATGTTAATGTTAATTATGATGTTGGGATGGATGAGGTTACAATGTTATAATATATACGTACATGTTGGATGGGCATAACTGCTGGCATCAGTGGAGGTGGTGGCCCAGACATCTGCATGTAAGCCATACCGGATGGCATTGGCAAACCTTGCACTAAAGGAGGACGTCCAGGGTAAGACATTGCACTTTGTTGTTTATGGTTTCACAGGCATTTATCTAAAACACAACGTACATCAAACCAATACCGAATCTAACCTTAAAAAATTACAACACACAGAATAGTCGAGAAAAAAAGTTTATCTTGTTTTTCGTAAGTCGACTATATCCTTACTTTTTAGATATTGAATCTTAAGTGTTTCCGTATTAATTACTATTCTATATAATACATATATAATAATAATATTAATAAAATAATTGTAAACGCCTTCTTTTATATTAATGTCACTACAAATCGCGATCAACACTGAACAATAGTACAGATGTCGCTGGGTCACGGCGTTCAGGGGACAAAAGGATATTTAGCAAATCGCCAGTCTGGCCAACCTCTAAACAATTTAGCCCAATATAGCCAACCGAGTCAATCGCCTCATACTGTCTGACACGATCTACGATCCTATTGGAAAAGCACGAAACATGAAAGCAGGGACTTTTCTTATTAGCAAGTTGATATTTTCTTCAGTTGCATGTTGTAAGCAGCACTGCGGGCACGTCAGTTTTTTACCAACTGGTACACGTCAACGTCATCTTAATTGTTGGGTGTAAAAATTCAATAATAATACAACAAGATCATTTGTTGTTACTTCAGCCCCCTATAGTTAGCCGCTAATATTCAGCAATCATGGTAATAAATCTTAATGGGAATCCCCATTTGCCTTACCTTATTCTTAAGAAATTAATGAATCATGGACTGAAACAATTCTAATACTATGTTTTTTCTCTTTCAGGTGCTCATAGCTGCTGCTGTTTGCACCAAAGCTGGAAAAAGTAAGCATTCTCAATTTACAAGTGAATTACTTCATTAATATATGTTTGCAGCTATCATATCGAGACAGTTTGTTGAAATGACCAAGGCTCGAATAGAAGGTTTGCTTGGTGCCTTTCCCAAATTAATACCAGCTGGCACTCAACATACCTTTGTTGAAACTGATTCAGTGCGTTATGTGTATCAGCCACTGGAGAAACTGTACATGCTTTTGATAACAACAAAGGCTAGCAACATATTAGAGGATTTGGAAACACTTAGATTGTTTGCCAGAGTTGTGAGTGCATTTATTTGAATATCCAAAAGTGAAGTGTTTTAAATAATAAACTTTTAGATTCCAGAGTATTGCTGCTCATTGGATGAGAACCAGATTGCTGATAATGCATTCAATTTGATATTTGCCTTTGATGAAATCGTAGCTTTGGGATACAGAGAAAGTGTTAATCTTACTCAAATTAGAACTTTTGTTGAGATGGATTCCCATGATGAGAAGGTTTATCAAGCTATTAGACAGGTGAATATTTATACTGCTCAATAATGATTTTATTATAGTTTAATTGTTAATTTATTTAGACGCAAGAGAGGGAAGCTAAAAATAAAATGAGGGAGAAAGCTAAAGAGTTGCACAGGCAAAAGATGGAAGCGGCGAAGAAGGGCGTCAAACCGGCGTTCGGTGGAAGCGGCGGATTCGGAAATTCCAATCCGTACACACCTGTTGCACCTGTTGTTGGAGATGTTGCTAACAGCAACAGCGAAGTGAAGCACCAATCGACATCGTCGGTAAAGTGAGTGCCGGTTTTGTTATGATCGAACCGTATCGTATGTAAATGATTGGTGTTTGTGTTTTTTTCAAGGAAATCGGTGGCTACCGGTCGTGGCATGAAGTTGGGTGGTAAATCCCGTGATGTCGAATCGTTCGTGGATCAATTGAAGTCAGAGGGAGAAAACGTGACGAACGCGAACGCTCAGCATAAAGTGAGCACCGGCCACAAAAAGGCTGCGGTCAAGGTGAACGAAGACGAGGTCTACCTCAGACAAGAGGAGAAATTGGTGGTGCAGATGGGAAGGGACGGAGGAATCCAGCAGTTCGAGCTATCCGGTTTAATCACATTACATATTTCGAACGAGAAGTGGTGCAGGATTCGCGTTCAATTGGACAACCAGGATACGAGAGGCATACAGCTGCAGACGCATCCGAACGTCGACAAAGAATTATTCAGATTGCGTTCACAAGTGAGAAAAAACTTGCTTCAATTTTAAATGATATTTTTATTTTCAATTGTTCTTGTTTAGATCGGTTTGAAGCAACCGGCGAAACCGTTCCCGTTGGACACAGATGTAGGCGTACTGAAATGGAGGTTGCAGAGCAGCGATGAGAGTCTGGTGCCGCTGCTGATAAACTGTTGGCCGTCAGAGTCCGGAGACGGAAGTTGCGACGTCAACATTGAATACGAGTTGACCCACAGCGATTTGGAGCTTGCCGACGTGAACATACTCATTCCGTTGCCGTAACTATATTCATTTATAATAATAATGTTAATCTCATTTCGTTTACATATATGATGCGTTTTTGCAGAATGGGATGCACGCCTGTTGTGTCCGAATGCGACGGTAATTACAATCACGAACCGAGAAGAAACCATTTGGTGTGGTCTCTGCCTATCGTCGATTCGAGTAACAAGACAGGTTCCCTGGAGTTCTCCGCGCCAAAGGCCATCCCCAATGACTTTTTCCCGCTGACCGTTTCGTTCACATCAAAAAGCTCTTACGCTAACATTAAAGTGAGTCTTCAGCTCTTCTCTTCTCATCCGACCGATAATTTATTTAACGTTTGTTGTACAACAGGTGGCCGATGTTATGCTCGTCGATGATGAATCGCCGGTGAAGCACACCGTAGAATCAGTCCTGTTTCCCGATAAATACGAGATCGTATAAAGTGCGGGAATCGTCCTCTCGTTACATTCAATAACAATGATGCATGATTCTATTATTTTCTTTATATTGTACTAAAGGTTATATATATACAATATTCTTTGTTTGTACAAAATAAGAGAATGATTTAATTTACACAGTTTCTTATTGCGGACGTCGCGTCCGCTTATTTTGAATTTATTCTTTTCGTCATCGATCACTAAATGTATATACCAGTATTATTATCCAAGATACGGATAATAGCGGATAAAAAAAAAACAGAAAGAAAGTAGGTTCTTCGATAACTTGTTTATATATTAGTTTTGTGTAATAATATTGTTATTATATCGTAATAATAACCTTGTATGATAATAGTTTTTATTATTAATAATTTGTCTCCTTTAGTTTAACACAAATGATATTTTCGTTCATATTATTAAAGTCCTAGTTAAAACCCATTTGCTTACAGAATTATTAAACATACATTCTATTAGTTGCGTAATTCGTCTTCCGTTTTTCTTGCAATTATGGTTTAGGATATTTACAAAATTACAAGAAAGTCCAAAACTTTAAGCTTCTAACACAATTATAGCTTTAAAATAACTTTCGAACATTAATAGCCTCGTTAATACTAATCCTAACGATTAAATAAATATACTAATCAAATTTAGTACTAATTGCTGATTAATATATAAAAAATCATCAAAAGATGGTAGCGCCATCGATTGATCACAACTCGAACTCTATAGTTCGGCTGTTTTGGCGCTGCTCCAATTCCTTTTAATTGGATTCAAATAATTACATGAAAATTAATTTTATATTTACTTGCAGAGTTATGACCAAGTTGCAGCTTTTTTTATACGCTAGTAATTTAGTTATAGTTCGTTATGTAAGTACAACATTTGTTTATTTTCCATGACAACCATAGCGCAAGTACTTGTAACTTACAAAAGTAATTTGAAAAATGCGTGCTAAATAAAATACTTACACTCATTGTTATTAAAGTGAAGATTACATGAGAAACCACGCAAAAGACCTGAAAAGGAATAACTTTGTTGTAATTGTTTGAAAATCCGCAAAATATAAACAACCAAAAAACTTACCTACTAATTCTCAAATTGATAATTGGAACGCACTCTCGATTTGCGTGCAATTTACAGTCGATTTATAGAATAGAAGAAGTCGAGTGTTCTTCGTGGGTGAATGATGAAAATTGATCGAGAATCTTTTAAATTTGCTTTTATTCAACACTATCAACTATGTAAAACACAAATCATCTGTTATATAACCAATGAGAGATTACACTTATTCAAAAGATCGTCGTCCAAGAGGCGACAGGAGAGGCGAATAGGGGGGACATGACATGATCTTCCTCCGAATCAAGAATTCCGTTCACGCGCGAAACGAGTAATAGTCATCAATCAATCAATCCAGCATCAAACACACAGTTGCAAACTCGATTTGCCGAAAAAAAGAAAACAGAAGAAACCGTAGCACTAAAGACACATTCATCATACACATGTTTCTATATATATATATATATTTTTTTCATTTAAAACTCGATCACAGAAGTTTCGACTAAAAGATTCGCGAGAATAATGTAATCAAGATCAAGATGGAAGAATAAATAATAATTGAAAGTTTCAAGCAAATCAAATAAGCGAAATGCATTTGATTCATTATCGAAATAACTCCATCATTATTTATTTATTACAGATTATTTCTACGAGGATAATATAGCTCGACAAGATTGTTATTTTAAATAAATAAAAAATAATAAAATGTTGAAAAGATTTATGTTTGTTTTATTATAAATAATCAGTAGCTTAACTAACATAAAGTGCCCATCCCCATGTGAAAGTATTTTTTTTTACGTTAAGCAACATTGTTCTTTACAGCGCAACTATACTAAGCTGTCATCTAACAATTAAATATATAATACGTTATTACTACATCATACTCGATGGGATCCTTTTTTTTTATTGTTGTTCTTTTAGTCTTGTCGCAAATGGGAATTGGCGATTTTCAAATTTATTTCAAACAAAAAAGAAACATGAGAGCGCGCGCGCGTTTTCTTTACTTTCCCTTCGCTACATATTGTTCATTCAGTTATATTGCAAATTAAGAGAGATTGTCGATCGTTGCGCAAAGAGAAGAGATGCGATCATCCTTCAATCGGTTTGCTCATCATAACATCATCATCATCAACATCGCCGAAATATACAACCATTTGGTACAAGAGCAAAAGAAACAAGAAAAATTAAATATATCAAAAAAAATAATAATGAAAATTATAATTGAGGATTAGCCGTCGGCGAAACTCTAAGTACACTGATTTAACGGAGGGCTTTGGCTGCGCTCGACACTTCGTCAACTCTTGCTCTTGCTTTTGTCTGTCCTTTCATCTCGTTTAAATATAATAGTCAATACAAAAATTAGTTCCCCCATTCTTTTTTTTCTTCTCGTAATATATTCCACCCAATAACAATAAACAGCACATCGTCGGATCGGAAATAATAATTATAATAATAATAATAATAGTTATAATAAAAGAGAATCGAAAAAGAAAAAAAATAAGAAAGAAACGTACGCCATCAAAATACTAAAGCCTCTTTTGTTTTTCTTCTTATCATCGACTAAACTTAATGTTTACATATAGTATATATTTACAATTATTGAAATGACAAATGTAAACGCAGCTCGTACATATATATATATATATCAAAGGAAAATAATAATAATAATAAAACAAATGAGAAAATTGATTAGTACATATATATGTATGTGTGTATATATATATTTCATACGCGTTTCAATTGGCTATCTCAAAACTACATCGTGTGACAACAATTAGCAAACAAACAAAAAAAAAACATATGTCCATAGTTTTACCAAAGAAGGAAATAATCGTAAAAAGTAAGTAATATCCACTCACGAATTAATCAAGTTAAGAAAAAAAAAATGAATGATTTGAACATTTTAAAAATGGTTTCTTCTTTCAGTTTCGCTATTTTCGCGTAATAAAATAAATGAACGAAGAAAAAAATAAAATATCTCTCTCTGATTAAATAACTTCTATGTTACATAAGAAAAAAACTATACCCACACTTAGAATAAATAAAGAATACGAATGGATGTACCTTTTTTATGCTCTCGGGAAGACCTCGACTCTTATTGTACAGACGGAAAATCGCGACGATGTAACAACGTCAAAGTGACGTGCACGGACTTCTTTATTTTGTAACCAATGGTTACAACGGTAATTTACTTAAATGGTTATATAACAATTGCTGTCGTTTCGTTACTACGGTTTCATCGCACTATATAAGTATACATATATGCACATATATATATATATAAATATTAAAGAGGAATAATTAATATAATAACTATACAATAAAAAAAAAATTAATAAAGTTTCTCTTTCATATCCAATGTTCACTGTTTAATTTTTCTAAGTTTAAAATAATAACAAAAAAAAAATAATAATAGTAGTAATTATCAATAATATTGTATAAGTTCGATAAATATATATTCACATATATATTTCCACTCTGATTTAGTCACTCACCGATTCCCATTATCAGAAAATAATAATAATAATTTATAAACAACAAGAAGAAGAAATAAATAAGACCAAAGTCGTCAATTGTTTCCATCTATATAGTTTCAGCATAACACAACAACGGTAATCGAATTAAAAAAAAAACTAAATGAAGTATAAGAGTATATAAATTTCTCACGATTGTATTGTTTCCTCTTCCTTTCACCTCTCGCATATTGCATACATATATACGTACATACATATATATATAGATACAAATAAAAACAAAAGAAATAGCAGTTGACATGATCGATAAATTTAATTAATTAATTAATTGCCTATTGGTAAAGTGTGTGTGTATATATATATAATTTTTACTGATGCTCCTGCTCAAAGATGTCAATTCCACATATCACAAACATCGGAGAAGAAGAAAAAAAATATGATATTAAGATCGATTACAAATAATTATTACACGTGGTGATATTACAAAAAAAAAACTAAAGAATATGAAGAGAAGAAAAACAAATTAAATTAAAAAAATAATAATTATAATAATAGTAATGTATAAAATGAAAAAAATTATGAGAAAACGAAATAAAGGCGTACAGCTATGTAGAAAATAATAATTATTATGAAGGACGAGAAAAAAAAAATATAAAATATATATATATATATGTATATATCTTAAGCTATTTACTTTTTGTGCACACGCACGAATTGTTATGTGAAGAATTACACGATGTACAAGAAATTAACTTCTTCTTTTCTTTTAAATATTTTGTTTTTTATATATATATATATATAGATCATCATATTGTTTGTTGTTGTTGCTGTGTCGTTCCGAGGCGGCGCGTTCCGCACGGACACCGACTTTTACATTTTCTTTAAATTTTTTTTAATGTTAGGGTTGATTTTTTTTTGTTGATTTTTGTATGTTTTCAAATGTTCAAACGCTTTTTTTTTCTTTCCTTAAGTGTGTGTGTGTGTGTTGTATGTATTTATGTACGTACAGACTCGGATAACCCGGGCGCAAGTGTCTAGTACCTTGTAAAAAGAGTGAAATCTTTATATTGTTTTTTTTAGTATATTCTTTTTTAAAACTTATATTCATGTTGAATTGTAGTTTACGCCGGGTCTGTGCAGTCGTCCGTACAGGCAGGCAGTCACAGGTTCAGTTCGTTCGCTATCTTACTGGCAATATTCTTAAAACCAATACTAGTACCTGAAATACAGAGAAAAAAAAGTTGATTAATTCATTTGTTTCATAATTAGCTCTATTTTATTGTACAATTGTAATCAGTTATTTGTTACTAGAAAATTTAAACTGAAAGAAGTAAAATGTACTTAAAGTATATAAAAAAACTACTCAACATAATTGAAAGTTTCTGAAACTGACACATTTTATACAACTGCCAGAGAAATTATGAATTATTCAGTAAATCAGATATCTTCGATCAGAAAAAGAACTGAATGACATTGATATAATATTGATACATTATAATCAGGTAAAAAACAAGTTTGGTGGAGGCGCCGGGTCATACGTTATATTCCTGATTTTGTAAAAAACTTATTACACATTTCTTTAAGTTACGTTACTTTTAATAAATACATCCAATTTTATTATAGGTATAATTTTGGAGAATTGATTGTAGAATACGAAATTTTCCTCATCAACCTTACAGTTCAAATTATGTAATGCATTTTTAGCATTAAATAAAAAGATATCTAATTGAAAAGCTAATCAATTTCTACAGCAAAATTGAAGTAATTAATCATTTGGTAAATTATGTCCGATTCGCAATATTTTTTCAAATTAAGAACTTAATTAGATCATGTAACAAAAATGTATTGCAGTTACTGAATTATATTACTGAAATATATTACTAAATAAATCAATGCAAAATATGCATATATGAGCCAATACTTGACATATACAATATTGAGAAATGAACTACATACGAATTTTCGAACGAATAAGAAAATTGAGGTCAGACGGGAAAAAAAGAATAAAATAAATAAATAAATACCTGAAATTCTTTTAAACCGGACTCCGTTAAGTGAGAGGCGAGGTAACTTGCAAACTTCAATTTCGAATTGCACCAAACTGTCCGTGTTCGGATCGCCGTGAACGCAGAGCAGCAAGAACCGTTCCCTCTGCTCGTAGTCACAGTTGTTCGCATCTAAAACTTTACATATTTCGGTGACTATTTCCTTTGGCGTTCGGCTTGATGTTGTTTTCATAGACCAAGTGAACCGCAACGATCTGGGCTTTACTTGATCGTCGTTCTGATTGCTAACGACACTGTAACACAAAAAAAACACAAGACGTTTCTCTATGAAAAATTGCAGTCGCATCCGCCGCCAAAAGCAACATCGTTGCATTGACCTAAACCTATAAGGGTATAAGTGGACGTTTTTTTTTTTTCAAATTTCCCTCTCACTTCATCTTCAACATTACTAAATATTTTCTTCGCAAAACGAAAAACATTTTCGCTCTAATTTTTTTTTATTAGTGCACACTTACCCGCTTATAGGTACAGGAGAATTGCCTTGTTTAGTGGCTTGGCCAGGCTCTAATGCCCTGAAAAGAAATAAAAAAACAAAAATGGATGAAAATGAAAATGGGTAGAAAGAAAATGAAATAACATAAAATAGTCAATGGTGTGTATTTACATAAAAAAAGGAGATCAGATTACAGTTAAAAAAAAATAATAATCATAATTAAAAGAGAGAGAAAATAATAAGAGGAAATAAAAAATAAAAGAACTAGATTTTTGTTTGTTTACAGTAAATTGTTTTTTTTTTGCTTCAGAAAAGTTATAAATTGATTCTAATACATATCGGCAAAATATGTAGCGAAACAATAATAATAATAATATTGTATGTAATACTTTGCTATCGTGTTTCACAATTCGCTTCTGACTTGTCTAAACTATGTTCGCTTCGAAAAAAAAAAATAATGAGTATCAGTAATACTAAAATATATCTATATAAACTATATAACATGCGGTTAATTTTCGTGACAAAATAAAAAATACACCGCAATTATTCTGCAATACATATATAACAAAACAAATACTTTTCGGGGGGGTTTTGGGGGTGGCGGTGGAGAGAAAATGGTTACTTAATTATGTGAGAAAAAAAATATAGAACGAAAGAAAAAAAACGTAGTAGTAGTAGTAATAATCATAATTAATTAATAATAATAAGAGGAGGGTGTACATTTACTTAAAAATATAGTATGTAAATGGTATATAATAATTTTGCTTAGAATTACTAATTCCGTAATCGCTTATAATATATTTATATATGTATATTTTTGTCTATTTTATTTTTCTTATTTATTTATATTTTTTTTTGCTTTTGCTTGCTTGCTTTTTGTTCTCAATCAAAATCTATTTGTTTGTTTGTTTGTTTGCTTGCTGCTGTCGTTTGTTTGTTTCAATTCCGTTGGTTTATAATTTTGATTCCTAGAAGTGTTCTGGATCAGCCCTTGCTTGCTTGTCTGTCTGTTCTGTTGGTTGAAGTTGCAGATTGGTAGTACTACGCTGAACTTGCGGTGCGTCCCCTCATGGCCCTTACTGGTTGACCCTGAACCAGAAATATTTTTTGAACTAATGTAGTTAGGCCGATGGGGACGCAGCACAACTGCACAGAATTAATCCCCGTCCCATTTACATTAAGCACATTTAAAAATATATATATATATAAACACACAGAGAGAGTTTGCACGAGAAATAAAATCAAGAAGTCAAATCAAAGAGAATCTCATGCGAAATACATATACGTACATATAAATATGGAGAAATAGATATATGTAAATATACATGAAACGCAATCAGCTGACATTTACAGACAATGCACACATAGCGCTTTTTTTTTTAAGTTGTTGTTGATGTCTTCATCAAATAAATAACATATTGCAGACAATAACCGTGAGCGAAAAATTTTGATTTTGAAGCTGCCTAAGTAAAATTATCCTTTTTTTCAGATTGTTTCTTCCTGTACTTCAAACGTACAAGCTCTTATGGTTCATATCTTTAAAATCATATGGTTCATATAAAAAAAATCAAATGAAAACATGAACCATAACAACCTGACGCCAATTATTGATATTTTACATTCAGGATATGAAAACAAGTATGTAATAATAAACCAGACACTGATCAAGTTCTTCAATTCATAGACGAAACAAAACGAAACAAATGTTTTTTTTATGCAATACATTAACAGCTGCTCTATGATGACATTACAAACGTTGATGTTCGATACTATTATTATTTTTTTTGTATGTATGTAATTGAATCACCCCTGAAAACCTCAATTTCCATGAAAAATTGAGATTTCCAAATGAACGTGATCGGGCTATATTATATAAACTATGAGTGAATAATAATAATAAATACTAGTAGGATACCCAATTGGAAGAACTCTTCTGGTTCGGGCATGCATGAATGTCAACTTACCGCTTGGAGAATTTTGAACTGAGTTTCGAAAAGAATGAGGTATGTTGGGACTGTGACACGTAGTTCGCTCTGGGTCTCGTCTGACCGGAATGGAAAGTGCTACGTGAAGAAGTGTTCCTGGGGAAGGCGAGTCCTCTAGATGTCGCAGGAGATGCGCTGGTCCGACTGTTCCGATAAAACAAAACGAAACACATAAATTAAACGTCCTTGCAATTCGCACTCTACTCAGTGCACAATAATACGGGGTTCATCTAATAACAACAATAACAACAACAACGTTGCACAGGTTGTTCTCTCTAATCAACATTCCAGAGTTAATTCGGAAATTAAAATTAACGTCACTGAACGGTCTATGAGTGTGTACAGAACGACAATCAATGAATCAAATGAACCAACAAAAAAACAAACATGTAGTATATATAGAATGTGAACACGAGACGACAAAGTTATTATTGTCATAGAAAGAGAGAATGGGGATGTAAAAGCAGTTCGTTTTCAGCACACAAACAAACGGTTCGGTTAGTATAGTCAAAATTATTTTTTCAGTAATAAAATTTTAAGTAAATAAATAAAAGTAATGAAAAAAAGCACCTTTACCTAAACAATTTTTGGGGAAATATGTGCGAATGGTAGGAGATATACATGATAATGGGACTAAAAATAAAGAAAAACGATCATAAAATACATAATCAAAAAAAAAAACATCAACACACACACATACAAGTAATTAGTGCACGTAACGAAAATTCAACGAATCAAGTAAACGATAATAATTAACAACGACAACTATATATATATATATGTACAATTCTATGGGAGATATAGTTTAGCGGGAGATTTATTAAATAAGCAAATTAAGTAAACTATACAAGTATAAACTCTAACGACGGAGGAAATTTTATTAGAAGATAATCGAAGTGTCCCATTATTATTAAAACCGGATATGCCGTTGGATCTTTACTATATAAATGTGTACTGGACGAATTCTCTAATTGAAGGATTTTTTTTTATATTTAAATTTAAAATCATGCTTTAAATAAACGTGTCTCAATAATTACGAAAAATCAAATTTAAAGGTTTTAGAATAATTAATGATGTAATCAGATAAAATAATTCAGGAAAGGATGCTTTCATCTCGTGTGGTTTTTGATGATCAACTAAATAATTCCTAATCAAAAATTAATTTAAATCTATTTTATAAATAAAATTGGTTGAGAATCTGTAATTCTGATGTAATGTTCGATTCATGAATACGAATTAGATGTGTGATCGTTTGAATGAAAAAACTAAAGTAAATAATTTCATTGAGTTGAGGGAGATAGGAGGATCTCGTATCATGCACATTCATTGGAAGGATGGACGATGATGATGTGTTTAGTGGGATGCAACAACGTACCTAGTTCTCAACGGGTCCGGCGTGGTTTCAGGACCACCACTACTACTGACCGACGCAGATTTTACGTGTCCCTTTCCAGGACGCAAACTATCCCCAGTACTACCTAACCCCCTGTTCATGCGGTTAGCATTAACAAATTATTATTAGTGATTCCACAAGCCATGTTATTTATATAAATCGAAGAATTACACACGCCTTCCTTTCTTAGCTCTTTACCCTCTCACTAGCGTTACGCAACAAATACAACATATATTCAATGACTAATATTCGACAGGGCAGCGATATGCAATTCTCGTACGATCTTATACGTTAAATATTATTAATATTAATGGGTTAGTAATTATTTTTTTGTAGCAGCGTTTGTATTTGGGGGGTTAATATTAAATATGGATAATATTCGCGCCATCTACTAAACATTGGTCTGATACATACATTGGTATTTGATCTGGTGCCATGTTCGTCTTCTCCATCGAGTTCGACTTGCCATCGTAACTGATAGTGGAACGTCTGCCGACCGATCCTCCTGAAGTTAGAGGTTTTGCGGTAACGGTGTTGCTCTTAACGACAGTGCGAGGCTTACCTGGACTTTGAACACCTGCAGAGAAAAAAAAAAGACACGTAACAATAAACAACGATGTCGCGCAAACGATGATAAAGCGATAAACTCACTGTTTTCAGCGGTTGATTTAGCTTGGGCGGTCGCCGGTCTGGTATTGGTTCTTGCACTGTTCTCTTTTATTGTCGCACTATCGATTGTGTTCTGTCGCTTGAAACCAGATCCATGATTGTTGGTTTGTGGTACAGCCACTTGATTACTTTGAGGTCCTGCAACAAAAAAAAAAAGACAAAATAAAATTATTAACATGTACCAGAATATCAAATACAATTAAAAATAAATGAAATAATACCGATCGAACTTGAACTGAACATAAGTTTTATCATAAATTCTTCAATATGATTCATTAGAAACGGATTACATAAAGAAGTGCTCGAACGAAGACCGCCGTGTTTGACGTGTACGCACAATATTCAAGTGATGAAAGATGTCTGTTGCCATGGTAGTAGTTGTTTTCTGAATCGTGGCTCGAAGATGGAGTAAATAAGGAATGATAAAGCGCCTTTGTGTTCGGTTTGCAAGCATGGCAGTAGTAATACTGAAGGGGGGAAGAAAGGCTTAAGGAGGAATGAAAGACAGGTTCACAGAATCAATGAAGGTAGGTAGGAGCAATTTCGCGAAGCTCCCTGCGGCAACAAAGTTTTCGCTGAAAGTTCAACCCCCCGAAGGTTGCAGAATCCCCGGACGTCAGGAAGGAAAGACGACGTCTGCCTTGCAGCAGCAGGGATAGAGATAACGGGGAATTTCATATTAAATGGGATTGTTCGAGGTCTCAAAACAGATGATCATCCCACATCCCAATATACATGTAAAATGACAACAACAGACTTCTCTCGTTTTGCAAAGTTCGATAAGCCTTTGTTTATTTCATAGCCAGTTTTGAAACAACTTAAATAATGAAATTTCAATAATCAACATTTTAGGTTTCCTAACTAATTCTAATATAATTAACAGTGTTGTAAAACGCAAAGTAGAATGACTAATTAGTGTAAGTGCTCTGCGAAAAATACGAGTATTCTCAGGATGAAGTTGAGAGATAAGTGCACAATAAATTGGAACGCTGAATAAAAGGCGAGACTGTAAATGGAGAGTTTAAATCTGTATAAACTCAAATTGAAATCGATTACACAATAGAAATGAACTCTTGGATAAATAATATTAGAGTCAAAATAGATGTGAACTTTAGAATGAATATGGAATAATAAGAAAAGGAATGAATGCGATTTCGCCCACTGCAAATCGTCGTCCCACGACCGTTCTCTGAACAGAACCAAATGTTACGTTCAATATTTTAAGAAAAAAAGGAGACTCTAATTTAACCTAATACTAGACACTTGCTCCAATTACGTTAAGTGTAGCGAGGAAGACGCGCGTCAACATGCAAATCCGTTGCATTCCGATTAAACGTCCGGGATTCGCTATGTGCAAAGCGAGACAGGAAGACACTCCAAATACCGAAACGGTAATTGCAGATTGCTGCTCAGTTAATTTGATCAAGTCTTTGAATGTACTGAAAAATGTGTACATCTCAGTTAATTATCGCACAAATTCTTAATAATAGAAAGAAGCGTTTTGGAATTACATTACCAGTAAAATAATTCAGATTAAACTAGGATATTGCAAGTATTGATTTTCTTAAGACCACTTCAGTCCTCTATTTACTTTGCCATTTTCGTCGCGTGTTATCATTTAATTATTTCGAAATGTTTGCATTATAAAAGTACGTTCCATTATTATATATTATCCATTAATTATTTTGTTATTGATAAAATCGTCCATGAAACGAAGTGATTGATATTTATATAAAAGTCGCTGTAAAATTCAATGCTAATAACATGTTCGATAATAAAAAAAAGAGAAGAGAAGAGAACAGAAATAGATTCGAGGATATAGAAATTGAAGGTGACACAAAACACTGGCTGCAATCGCGAGCGAATTAAAGATTTAGTTCTCCCACACGGGAGGAAGTTGCGTCATCGATGGCATTGCTGCTTTATCGCGATTAAATAAATTTATTTCGAAAGTGGAAGACTTGCCAGACGTATTATTCAAATCCTCCGGTGTTATGAAAAGGAAATACTGAAACGAAGAGTTTATAATATGGATCACATCTGCATAGATATTTCAATATCGTCCTATTTTGCCAACGCAGCAAACCCGATGCGATAAGTAATCTATTTTGACTAATGAAAATATGATGTTTATATAAATTAGATACTTGAATTGAAAATAATCAATTAAATATGTTGCTTCAAATAATTTGTTTATTTACTATATACAAAAATAGAGTAAATAAAGAAATTATCCGGAGTAAATATAAACTAAATCGAAACGGTAAATACATTGTATGTCGAAGAAAGGGACAATTAAGAAAAAAAAGTGTAATTGTCGCCGAAGTAAGAATGAGTCAAGGAAAAATAACGACGCATTCATTCATTCATTGAGTGAATCAACCAACGCTCACGCTATTGATATTGTGTGTATGCAATATAAAAGCAAACGAGAAGGGATTAAATCTTATCGATGTTATCCTTGATTGAAAGGTTAACGAGAGACGATTAGAATAAGTATAATGCTTTATGCGTTTTCAAGCAAATAGAAAAATCTCCATGGATGCACGGATCCGCGACGGTATTGAATTTATTTGTAAATAATGCTGAGATAAAAATAACGAACGGGAGGAAAAATGCCCGATAAAAGCAAACAGTGCGACACGTGCTGCTGCTGCGGCTTTTATTTGCGGCCGGAGGGAACGAACGGAAACATCATTCCGATAAGAAGGTGCATTATTTATTTCGTTCCGAGGAGTTGTCGAAAGATGCAATTTTGTCTTTCGCGCGGATGTTTCGCATTGTCTGCGGGAATCGGATTGGAACGGCGACGACGACGACATTGGGCGGATGGTATATTTATTGCTTCCCAAGTAAACGCAATTGCCACCGACCGCCGTACGAGAACAGAACAACTGGTTCAGCATTGAATTATCGATGGTGGTGGTCAGATGGAAATGCTCCAGTCGTCTTATGGTTTTACATTTAAGCCACGAGCGCGGAGATAAAAACATCAATAAATATTGATCGAGACGTCGTCGTCTCCTTGGAATGATGGAAGCACCTTGGATCTTGTAACAATTAGCAACGACGCGATTTTGATAAGGTTACTGGTTCTAAGATCTAACGACGCGTATGAAACGCGCAAAGGGAAACGAATGCAGGTAGGTAGGTGTTTGTAACAAGTTCAAATTAGACGACGACGCGTGGGTGAGCAAAGTTCAATGAAAGAGCAAGTGCCACTAGAAACTAATCCATATCTCTACTTAAACAAACAACGCAAGGAAGAAAGCCTTCGATGCAGCCATTTATCGTTATTGGCTTAAACAAAGTAAAATCTCAACATTCTAAAATAAGTTGCAAATCGATTGAATAAACAATACTAAATATTCAATATCTACACAATTCAATTACAAGTAAAATGATTATCTAACGAATATGAGATAATTATATTAGATTAACTTATAAGTTACTTTAATTCTAAAATGACCGTAATAGATCAAATTGGGTGTTGTCAGTACATACCTCCACTAGAAGCTCTTCTATTTGGTTTAGCATTTGTAGCTGAAATAGAACGATGTACTCCTCGGTGTGACGGGCTCTGGGCGGAAGGTTGAACAGCTCCAACCGCCTGCTGGCCGGTAATGTTCCGCAAGGATAATGAACTTCCGCTCCTGCTGCCGTCGCTCTCCGGCTACATTAACATTAGAAAAAAGAAAATGCAGAAATTGTCAGAAACGTTGCGTGATTTCACAGGGATGTCGGGGTATTATTTACGTCGGTGCTCTTCCTGCCCAGCAGTATGTACGTTGCGAACACGTCATCGTACTTCGGAGTATCCAGGGAGTTCTCGATGTCCGTCCTGTTGTATCCGAGACAGACGAGCGCTTCGATGCGCTTCTGATCGGACATATCCTGCTCTGGCTCAATGTAAGGCTTCAGCTCGTCGTTTTCGTATCTAAAAACATGGCACGCATGAGTAATCAAACGAAATTCAATTGGATCGAATCCTTCTCCTTCTCATTCTTCGCACCGCTTGCCAAATTACAAAATAAACGATCACCATGACTAGTTAACTATCATCTATCTACAATACAACCCTAAAGACGACTACAAACAACTTTTTTACGCAACGACTACTACGACTCCTAACTAACCAAATAAATACCACAAAGAACTAACATTGATGGATTGAAATGAAAAATTTTGCACTGACCCAACGTACCCCATATTCATCCACTTGTCCTTCATAATTGACTCAAGGGACGCTCGCTTTGTCGGAGTTAGCACCAAGAACTTCTTGAGCAAGTTCTCACAGTCGGTTGACATGTAAAATGGGATTCGGTATTTTCCCCTGAGGACACGCTCCCTAAGTTCGCGCAGTGTCGAACCATCAAACGGCAAACTGCCCGATACTAACGTATAAAGAATTACTCCTAGCGACCACACGTCCACCTCAGGTCCATCATATTTTTTACCCTAAAAACAAACAAAAAGAATATTTAATATATGATAAAATTAATTGAACAAAGAAATCATTTCATTATGAATATATATATATATATATCAACGGTGAATAATAGTAATATCGATCCGTTCAAGGTGGCCGCGCTTTCAATGAAATTGTATACCTTATTCATAAACCCAAAAACATGAAGGAGACATGAATGGGGGGGGGGAGATATATACGAATAAACTGGGCGTGTCTTTGTGTACTAACCTGGAACAATTCTGGAGCTGCATAGGGGGGACTACCACAAAACGTGTCTAATTTATTTCCAGGCGTAAACTCATTCGAGAATCCAAAGTCTGCTATTTTTATATTCATTTCACTGTCCAACAATAAATTTTCAGCCTTCAAATCTCTGCGAAACGAAAATAAATAAGATTATATTCGATTGAATAACTGAAGGGGGAAAACTTTTCGCTCATTTCCGTATGATCGCCTCACCTGTGAATAATTTTTTTCTGATGACAATACTGTACAGCGGAAACAATTTGCCTAAATTTGGCACGCGCTTCTTTCTCCTTCATTCGCCCGTGAAGCACCAGATAGTCGAACACTTCGCCTCCGGATGCGTACTCCATTACCAGGTACAGAGTTTTCTCGGTTTCAATTACTTGAAACAGTTTCACAATGTTCGGATGGTCCAGCATTTTCATTATTCTAACCTGAAACGAGAGAAGGAAGAACGAGAGTTGCGTTAATGATAATGATGACGATGCATTTTGCGATTTGCACGTACTTCTCTAAAGAGTTTTTGTAGGGATCCAGGATTTAGTTGAGTTTTGTCTATTATCTTAATGGCGACCTCTTTGCCAGTGGGAACGTGCTTCGCCAGTTTGACTTTGGCGAAGTTTCCTTTGCCGATGGTCTTGAGCAACTTGTATTTTCCAATGGTTGGTTCCTCTCCGGCCCTAGTTTTGACCCTGTGCGGGCCGGTGCTGATCCTCGTCGTCTCTGAACCCTCATTGCCACTCTGCAAAAGAAACATCTCTGTATTATACACACATCGAACATCGATTCCAATACTACTAGGTCCGCTAGATATCCCATTGTCAACGACTTACGACGTCAGTCAGTGTCAAATTGATTTACCAAAAGGTTTTTTTTCTCTCTAAATATTCACACACACTCAGCACATTCCTGATTGAATAGCTTTACTGTGTTCACCAAAGAAAGGCTCTCATTCTATTGATCCTACGCCATTATTTTATACCATCAAAACCATAAAAAAAGAGTAAATTTGCACTATTAATAATACTACTCCATTATTTCACCTTAAAATACTTTTTTTTATGAAGGTTAATAATCTAAGTTAATTTCAACTCTCGATTTATACCTTGTTGCAATACATTATAAATTTGGTGTTGTAATTTATGCACATGCGAAGCATAAAATGTCTGTACGCAATTTTAATCGCAAGGACACCTCCATTCGAAATCACTCGGCAATTGGTGCAATACAATATTTCGTATAATCTCTTTTTTTTAACATTTATATTATACAAAAGTAACGAACCTGCCACCTGTAAAGTCTCTTATGCCCGTGCAACAGATAGTACCAAAACCGATTGATCCGCAAGAACACGATTTTGAAAATGCAGAAGCACATTGTGCTGCTGTTGCTTGTTACCAGCACGGCATTATTTTCATTAATGAATCAAATCATCAAATTATGATACGATAACGGAGGACACCGAACAGCAGAGAGACAGAAAAAAATGATATCATTATCTTAAAGCGCATAATTAATAAAGCCGTATGCGCGAGGCCGCACATTTCGGGACTCTCCTCCAAGTCTAAGTAAGGAAAATTCCAAGAAAGACGTCCCCGAGCTCATCTCGTCGTTGTAAAACAAAAACAACGAGCCTGAGGACAATTTTTTCCCTCACTAAAGATCCTTTAATAAATAATACCACAATGTGTATTTGTGATAAATTATATCGTCGTATTATCTAAAGTGTGCATTATTTACATGCGAGTGATAAGATTAATGCGGCCGATTTCGCTATAGCCGCAATACAATTTACGATCGAAAAAGAAAATAATACTCACAATGGCAAATCAACTTTTTTTTCCCCCAAGTCACATTATGGATTGTTGCGCTAATTGTCCATTATTTTTCATTATAAAACTAAATTTAAAACTGTTTTAAATAAAAGTTTCAATTGATGTTTTTGATTAAATATGATAATATAAAATTTCCATTGAAGGATTTCATCGTTTACTCACAACTCTTGAAATTCTAATACCTGAATTTCAAGAGTTGAAGGCTTACTTTGAAATGTATGTAATTGTTTTTTGACAAGTAATATGTAAAATTTGAATAACTGCGTAAGGCAATCAATATGTATAAATTACATAATATGTTTGAAAATTGATCGCACTGAATCAATTCGAGAAAATTATCTGTTTATATTATATTTCTTTGAAAACTTGCATATGTTTCCAATACTTTTTAAAATTGTTAGTTTGTAATTAATCAATTCTGAACGATTTTCAAGTAGAGAATGATTGTTGATTGAGTGTACGCTTTGATGGATACGGATTCTGTTATTGTATAATTGGTTGCGAATTAGTGGAAAGGCCGTTCTTGGATTGGGAAAAAAATACATAATTAAAGTTATCTATGAGTCATGTATTGCGAGACAGATAGAGAGTGGGAGGAAACGAGAGAGCGAGATAGAGCGGTTACACGCTTGATAAATTTTCCAACACATTTTAATGAAGGAACCTTGAAATCTCGTGGTATTATATAGTATATAGTATGTATATGAATCATATTTTTTTTTGTTCGCTTTGTTCCTAGTAATAAGTGTTTTGTTTGGGAGCTTATGAGATTTGATTTGGAGAGAGGTGAAACAGCGAATGTGTCGGTACGTTCGGTCGAATCGAATCGAGTAGAAAGAAAGAAATGTATCTTTGATAGTGTGTTTCACCTTGTTTCTAGCTGGTCGCCTGATGGCTTGCCGCCTTACTGGTATAGAGTCGCTGTTGTTTTCGTGGGCATCGGAAACGGTGCGAGAAAGTGGTTTATGGTTGTTGGTCTTTTGCAGGATGACTCTTTCGCCGGCGCTGGACCGCATCTGGTTGTTTCGCACGAAGTCGATGGGCGTTGTGTCCGCCTCCAGATCGCTTACACCGGGCTTCATGAAGTTGGAAACACCGGCGAAATTGCTCAATGGACCACCGTTGTCTGTCGTAGTCGTCTTGAAGCCAATCTTCTTGGGCTTTGTTGCAGCAGCCTCGACGCTCTCCGGCACCTTTGCACTCTTCTTGGCGTTCTCTAGCATCTTTTCGAACTTGTTCAGATTGTTGGTGCGCTTGATGTCGTTCTCGCAGTTGGCTATCAAATCTTGAATTGGGTTCAGACTGGGCACGTCGTTGAAGATCAGGTTGACGTCGACCTTGTCTCGGTTCAGCTGCCGGAAATTGGTCAGCTTGCCGTTACTGTTATTCAGCTCGTGAGTGGCATTCTGCTGATTTCCTGAAACCCTCGTCGCCTGCACCTTCTTCTTGCTCGTAACCGTAGTAGTAGCAACAGTAACAGGATTCAACCCCATCTGCGGAGGAGTCCTTCTTCCGTTCGGCGTATACATGTTAACCTTCCTCGTATCCTCCATCTGTTTCTTGAACGTATCCCTATATCGATCCAGATACTTTCCTCCGTACGTGATCTTATCTCGATGATTCTTCAGCAACTTTATCCCGATGTCGTGGCCTTTCTCGCACTCTGATTTCTCGGACTCGCTCATAGTTTTACGTAATTTCGTGTATTTTCTGTTTTTTTTTCTGCCTCAAAATGTTAATCACGCATCACAGACGTACCGACAACACCATTTTATATTTATAGACTGTATATGTTGTACATACACAAACTGCACAATACATTAGAACTACGTTATCTGCTCCCCTGATAACACCTATCAGGTAATATAAAATTGCCCTAGAAACTAGCGAACATGGCGGATGGGAGGAATTCAACGTATATAAGAGGAAAGAACAGAAAATCGACGAGCGCGAACTGCGAACACAAAACACACCGAACACCGTGCATCAACCGAGCAGAGAGAGAGAGGAAAAAAAGGAGCAATTTTATTGTTATATATGATGTAACAAACGTACGTTCTACGCTTGCGTCCTAGCAACACACACACTCCAAAAAAACAAAAAAATAACAGAAATACAAACAACCGTACATTTATAATTATATATATATAGATATATAAACCGTACTATGACACGAAATATAATTACCGCTGTTTCTTTGTTTCATGATTTTGTTACCGTGGAAACGTATATCTTCTAGATTCTAGAATGTAAAACGCAAGTGATGGACGCAATTAGTAACGTATGCGTTACCAATTAAAACCGACGCTCGATTAGCGAAACGCCAAGGGTTAGGCAGGAATAAATGCAAGGTCAATTGTGCTGCAGCTTCTCGCTCTGCATCAGTCACAGATTATGCGAAATTGCGATAAACCAGCCATTGTCGGCACGCCGCGCTCTTTACTTTCGGATTAGTGCCACGGCACGCGCGAATATCTACCCGATACAATCAAAATGTCAATGCAAACATCTCCTTCAATAACGTTATAAACATGATTTTGTCCTTAAATCTTAAGTCGACATGCAACTTGTCGATCTGTTTGTACGAGGCACAAGAAATCTCTATAACTACCGCCGTTTGTTTTGTGCATATTATTTTAGAAAATGGGTTATCAATTTCATTTATCTATTAATATTTGAGTGACAAAAATACATCACTAGTTCATCTGTAGTATAGTTAAAGATCTCGATACTAAAAAAATCATTTGCCCATGAAAATTTCGATTAATCACTGCGCAATACTTGACAAGTAAATTGTATAAATGCTTGTAAAATATATTTTTAGACTACACAAATCTCGTACATATATATATAATATTTAGTCGAGTTGTCAATTTAATTTGCAGTTTATGCCACGTGTTACATATCCCGTTAATAATCGAGTGAACCTATTTGAATAGTGTTTATTTCGTTGAATAATGTCAATTAATAATAAACGTCAATGTTGGTTGCATAAATTTAATTACAACAAAATTGCTATCAATTATGTTTTTAATAGTTGTGCGTTTCATATATTTATATATTAGTATGTAAATCAATATATTGATTTTGTTGTTTGTTTATTTGGATTGACATGAATACGAAGAAATAAGTGATTAAATACAAATACAATTAAAAAAATTGCATGTGATGTGCATGTACGTGAGAGTAAATTGAATCAAATTCCATCAACCTAGTTCTTGGTTAATCATGTCGTACGTACTCCATTCGCCGTAATAGGTGACGGAGAGCTCAATACACTGTATGTATGTGCATATGTGTGTGTCTGCAGAATTGCAAACAAACATCGCGCCGCTCTACGTTCCTTTTTCGTTGCTATTTCCACGCATTCATTCACCGTATCGCGATGCTCCATTTACACCTTTTCCACCATACACCGACGACGAACTAACTTCCTTCTGCAATCTCACTCTTTCCAACCCAATTGCAATTCCTGATGCTGTATAAAAAAAAACCTATCCTTCTTCTCGTATCCACCCTGGATACGATAACTTAAACCTTCCTTCTCTAGCACTTAGCAGCAATTGAGAGCTTTCCGCGAGGCGGTTCGTTGTTTCCTCCTGGCACGTCGCCCAGACGACTCGGATGCATTTAAACACGCCTCCACCATATCTATCTTAGCTCTCGAGCGGAAGGACCTGCACTTCTCTCTATAGACCAGTTATAAATCTTCATTCGTTTATCAAATTCCCCGTGAGAAAGCAGAAACATTGTCTTTCGTTTCTTTACTTATTTCTATGTTATTGCTGATACTGCAATGTCATAGTTGTGAGCTCCACGCCCTCTTATGTTTTTTTTACTTCCCCTTCAAATGCCACTCCCCAAAAACAAGTACACTCACTCAAATTAAACAACAAAAAAACAAGTATTCCAAAATTGGCAAACTAATCCATTCTCAATGCAATTATTCACACTCAAATATCCTCTTCTTTTTGCTTACGCCAATTAGAAAATACTTCTTTTGTGCCCGTGCAAATTGTGCCACCTTGCATCCAATATTTTATTTTTTTGTCTCCGAGCAGGAAAATAATATTATGCGCCTTGTTCGCTTTGAGAGTGAATAGTCGCCCCCCTTTTTTTTTCTTTCAAAGCCCTTCCGACGGATTTCGGTCGATAATCGTATCCGGCGGCGCGCTTTTCGGCTGACTTCTCAGAAAATCGGGGTAGTCTTCCGAAGCCCCATAACATTGACCTTCATTGTCTTCCTCTCCCATCCAATTATCTCCAGTCAAAGTTCCGAGAACCCATCTGCAATTTACATCCTTTCGCAAATCTCTTCAACACACATCCGCGCGCAACTCATCTTCCGTATGCATAAACATCAAACTAAAAAAAAGAGAGTCAGGTGAAAATCAATTCTCGAAATGAACCAACAAGGACACTTATTTTTTTTCTTTAAATATAAATAACTGTGTCATTGCAATTGATTGTTAAATTTAAACTTAATATATTGACGGACACACGTTTATTACGGAAAAAATGCAAATTTATGAGACGGATGTTGTTGTTGATGTTTACGCAATTCGCTTAGCAACGCGTTTCCATTTGATTATGCAAAATTAATAAGTCCCATTGTTTCAAACAATTTGCTGCTACATAATGAATCCGCATTATCTCGACTATTAGATTATATTAATGTCACCTTAATCAAACAATTTGCTTTTGAATTGGAAAATTACTCGAAAAGAAGCAAACCGATACTCTTTTATAAGGAAAATCCTTGGAACGTTAATACACCAAAAAGTTATTGGTGTACGTAAGAAAATAATTATCTGCTATATAACTAAACAAGAAATAAGGTCATTTATACACGTGTTAAGTCAGAAATAGTGTGTACTTATGAACATTTCACACGAGCATAGTGTGTGTGTGTCAGTATTTTAAGAAAATGCATGCAATAACGCTCTCTCTAAACGTACACATAATAGATTTACAGCAAGAAGCACTTATTTGCTTAATGTATTTGTTTGTTTTTGCAATCATCGGTGCTCACTTTCAAGCACATTTCAGAAAACACATCAAAACTATATATCTATATATAATTTTGATGTTTAAACATCAAATATGTTTTTACAACTATTTATTTTTTCTATTTTCATATTAAATTATAGTTGTAGGAGTCATTAACAATAAGTTCGTAGTTCAACTTGCGTGTCGTGAGAGAAAACATCATTAAATTATTTTCGAAGAAATTCCAAAGTAGTTCAATGTGTCACAAGATAAAAAAAAACTATTCCAGAAAATCTTAAATAAAATAATATTTCGCAATGCTTTACGAAACAGTTGAAAATTTTGATTACTTCAATATGTTATTGTTTAACAAAAAAAAAATACAGCAATCTAATAGTTTGCAGATTTGTCGTCCAACTTATCATGAGTAGACTTTATCTTATAAAGTCAAGGTCGGAGATCTCAATGTTTATATACTCTTTAACACCGAGTTGGTTTTATTGGTAGATATGACGCACCGAATGCTTCCCGAGATATTTCGATTAGACAATGTAAAGGGAACGTTGCTAACAAACAAAAAATGTCTTCCATGAAGTTCAGAGATGATGCAATTACATTTAATATGAAATAAGCTATAATCATAATATGACTCTTTGAGAAGTTGTTTGGAGGAGATGATGGATGAAACAGAAATTGTCAGCTATAAATCCGAGATTGTGCTTTTATGATACGATTCTTACGATGTTGTTCGGATGCGGATGAAACCGAAATTAACAAAGATTGTCTACCTTCTTGTGTTTAGCCCCGACCACAAAGGGCAGTCCATCGACAATGGCAACCACCACCCCATTCCTACCAGTCGGTTTTTTTCCGCCGTTCGGTATTTGATGATGATGCTGTTGGGCCGCCGCTTTGCTATCGGTGCCGTTGCTGCTGGCCGATTTAGCCAAAGACTTTGATCGTCTCAAGAACTTCAACACCTGATGCTTCACAGCATCCTGCGATCTAGGAGCGGACTGTCGGATGGCAGCGGCAGCGTCCACCTTGCTACCACCTACACTTGACACTTCGTACATGGCTTCGAAACAATCGAAGAAAACAAAGAGAAGAAAAAAACAAAACACCACAATGCACCGCCCGCACCTTGCGACCACCTACCGACGACTGAAACCTCTCTCGTTGCACCGCATTCAACGGATCATAATTATAATTAGAAAAAAAACCAGTCGGACAGTCATTCACTGAAATCACCGCGAAAAATTGCGTCTTTTTACCAGCGAATCCCGTATGTCTATGATGAGCAAGCAAGGAGCACTTGACACGACGTGTTTCTTTTTAATTTCGCGTTGCGCTTATGCAATTTATTTTATATTTTTAAATTTTCGCAAGCGGAGATGTTAAAGTTCAGACACTTGTTTACAGATCACCTAAGAGGGACTTAATAGTGTCGTAGGAGCGCATGAATTAATCAAAGTTCACATTGCGCGATGAATCGGTGCACTGGATGCGCGCCGCGTGAAGACGAAAAGCAATTCGTTGGGAACACATTGAAATAATGTCGTAAAAGAGAGAGAGAGAGATATCAGAGAGACACGGTTATCGCGATTTCGGAAAATATTATAACACTGTCAAGTTTAATCCTTTCAGAAAATGAGGTAGCAACACAGCAATTGTTCTTTCAAAAACTTTTCTTCTGCGGACGATTCGCGACACATTTTCAATTCATCCCCCTCAAAAGTCTTCTTCGTTTTTCTTCGCGTTACGCAACGGAAAATTTATGTTTCATTGTGTGTGTGTGCGTTTTTCTTTTCTGGTTGCGCAGAATCCCCGCACTGTCGCGTCCGCTGCCGAATGTTAACTGTTCATATAATGCACAGCCGGTGGTTTCACGCGCCTCTCCTCTGTTTTCAACACCAAACCGATCTCCCGACGACAAAAATCTGTGTGTTAT